CACACACACACACACACACACACACACACACACACACACACACACACACACACACACACACACACACAGAGTGCAATGCAGGGATGATGATGTGCACACACAATGCATCAGAAGGTTCACTTGGAAGCTAAGCACTCCATATCCTGCGAAAGACACTACAATGCATCAAAAAGGGTGGCTAAGAATCGGAACATAGTCACATCAAATCGTGCAGGGGAAGTCAGACCCTTGACCATAACATCAGCTGGTGCTTCCATGCCCTCATTCACATTCGTGGCATAGTGCTTGCCAATAGAAACCCCATTGTCCGGTGGCTACATCCCAGTTACGTGTGTTATTCGGAACACCATGGTCAGAGAAGAAGAACACACACAACTCGAAGAATTCCTCACGGAATAGAACGACTGTGCCACCGGTTAGCGCACGCCATCGAGCGCTAGGGGCTAGCGCTTCAGCGGTAGCTCCGCCGCGCGGATTTTCGCTCGCGCAGCGGTTCAAATTTTCAAACCGCGCGCCTCACCCTTCGACGCGGGCGTCTGCCTGCAGCCCAAGTTCCCACCACCGCGAGCTCCCGAGCTCCCAAGCCGCCATCGCCAGCAGCAGAGGAGAGCCCTGCCACACCAGGGAGCGCCTTCAACTTCGCGAGCGTGAAAGCCTACATCGCCAGATGTAGAGGAGCCCCCCGCCATACCTGGACGTCACGGGCCTCCAAGTCAAAGCTTCCGGAAGACAACGGAGGTCCCTGCACTCGCGCAGCCGCCAACACGAAGCCGTCAGCGACAAGTACCAATCTCAGAGGGATGCATGCAGTCCCCTGGACAAGCTGACAACCCGATCCACCAGCAGCCATCAACAGAGGAGATCGTTCTCCACCTACCAGAAGACTCCCAACCTGTCTCATGAGCCCAGTATTTCCAGACAAAGCCCGAACCACATCCTTCCTGCAAACCTCCCCCAACCCCCCCCGCCAACACGAAGCCGTCAGCAACAAGTACCAATCTCGGAGGGATGCATGCAGTCCTGTGGACAGGCTGACAACCCAATCCACCAGCAGCCATCACCAACGGAGGAGATCGTTCTCCACCTACCAGAAGACTCCGAACGCGTCTCATGAGCCCAGTATTTCCGGACCAAGCCCGAACCACATCCTTCCCGCAAACCTCCCCCAACCCCCCCTAACCCCCCGCTCCCCCGCCCGACCCCTTCGGATAACTTCCACCCGGGCGACCCACACCCCGCCCTCAGGCACAATCAATACACCACACGAGCATCCTTTACCCCCCCCTGGATATCCCAGCCCCACACTCACCCATTCAAGTAGCATCAAGATCCGCCCCTCACAGATAACCTCCCCTACCCGCCCTGATCCAAGCCCTATCACACCGTCTCCCGCCCCCCCTTCACGACAACAACAGCCGGACAAAGCTCGCCATAAGCTCACATCATCCCGCAGCCCATCTCCTGCTGAAAGCGCCTCATCTCTCCCCACCTCTTCTGCACTTACGCACACTCTGTCTCTCCCCCCTCCCTCTGCTCTCACGACTCCAGCCCCCCACCCCATCTCCAACGATCCCCGCAC